AAAATTTACAATATTATGACCATAAAAATATCATTTACTTTGAGTCAAGTAATTCACTATGTTTATGTTTACATTTACTTAGGAATTGATTGCCTCTTATTTATGTTTATTTCTCCATGTACCTATGGCTAATTCTTCTACTGTCCAATAGCCGCAAACAACCTCTCAATATAGTACTCTAAACTAAAAACTCTCCCCATTAATCTGTTCACTACATGCACTTTTTTCCCCTCCTAGTGAGCCTTTTGTTTTCTTGCTCAAATCTGTACCAACTATGCATGCAAGGATGCCCCAATTCTCCTGCTATTTCCTTTAATCTCATTCTGAAAGGTCTCTTTACCATCTTCCTTTGTCAAATGTTCCATTTTCAGTGTCTGACATTTTCATTTTCCTAGGTTTAAGCAATGATTTGTGGAACTCACCATTCTAAAAAAGAGGTCACAAGAATGAAAGTTTTGGAGACTTGTTTATGTAATTTTTAAAATTCTACTTTAGAATTTGATGAATAATTTCATGTAGTTACATAACTTTAAATTTAAATTAATTGTCCTTCAACATTTTTGAAACATTTACCCATTTTCTTCTAGCTCCCAATATTGCCGTTAAGATTCTTATGTGCAAAAAGTTTTATCACTCCCCTTTTGTTCTCACTATTAAAGCTTTTCATCTTTATTTATCATCTATCTATCTATCTATCTATCTATCTATCTATCTATCTATCATCTATCTATCTATCATCTATCTATGTATCTATGTATCTATCTCTTTTAATCTATCATCTATCATCTCTATGTCTTTCTCTTTTAATTTTAAAATGATATGCTATAACAAGGAGGGATTTTTTTGCATCCATTATTCTGAATACTTATACATATAGAAATTCATGCAAGTTAATGTTGGGGATAATTGTTACATTATTTTTGTAATATCTTTTTTATTTAATATTTTTCTTTATAGAATTTCAATAAGGTGCATGTTTGAGTTCCTATATTCTTTATTTCCTTATATTTTTCCTACTAGTCTCATACTTGGAAGGAAATTTCTTTATCTTCTCTTTCTACCATCCTATCTTATACTAAAGCTTTGATTTTTTTAATTTATCATGCTTTAATTCCTGAGTTCCTTTAATTCTTTTTCATTTTTTCTCTTTTTATAGCATAATATATTTGATTCTCTTTTTTGAATATTAATTTTTCAAAATAAATTCTTGACTTCTTTTTGCACCTTGGCTATTTCATCTGAGTTCTTTTGCTCCTGTTTATTTACCTGCTGTCTTTTATGACGGCTTCTGTTCTCAAAGTTCTAATGATCTTGGCACTCTCATACACATTCAGCAGTGGAACACGTAAACGCTGATAGAAATGTCAACTTAACTGGAGGAAAAAGAAAACATGTTTAAGTGAAAATTTCTTTCTTAAAAAGTTTGCTAGAACCAAAACCTGGTAGTGCTTAATGTCAGAATATAGATGAAATAAGCAAATTTTAGTTAGATATGAAATCTGAGAGCCTGAGTAATAGACTGTTTATATTATAAGTATACCTACTTGCTTGTTACTATTTATAAAATAGGACTTTTAAATTTTATTTAAAGGAATCATTTTTTTCTTCACTTTATCTTCATTTCAATTGCCCCAAATCCCACATACACCTGTAATTGTACTACTTTTTGAATATTCTGAAGATAAAAAATGGTGGGTTTTTATTTATAATTCCATCAGTAGTTTTATTTTCAAAGGATGCCTTGAAGTTAAGTTGATCTCCAATAATTTCAGAGAACATTTTCGTGACCTCATATTGTTAATATCTGTTTTTATAAATGTTCACTAGTTTTAAATTCTTGCTGTTTAAGCAATCGTGACCCTTCTCTATATAGCCTTTGGCTTTAATAAAACTGTTAGCCAAAGAAACAAAATATAATAATATATAAAATGTATTATTATTATTGGCATACTTCTAGGTTCCTTATGTGTATGAATATATTTAATCTTCACTTAATCCAAGTTATGTATTATTGCTATTATTACTTGCATTTTCTGGACAGGGAAATTAAAGGAGAGAGAGAGAGAGAGAGAGAGAGAGAGAAGTAATTTGCCCCAGACCCTACAGTAAACAAGCAGCCAAACATACATTTGAACTTGGGCTATTGGGAATGACCACTAAGGTCTATGGAACCTCAAAGAAGAAGTCATAGCCTTGGACTATTTTGGTTTATATAACAAGATAAAATATCATAAATAAAATTTTGAATTTATATTTAAGTTGACATTCCACATATTTCCATATAAATGAGAATTAGTGCACCTATAGTACTCTATCAATATAGACACATTTCTCATTTATTCCTGAAAACAATACTAATCCTTCAAACTGCCTGGAAGATGCTTACTGACTATAATACCCTGAAATCAATTTTATTACAGGAAAACAAATGTGTTAGTGAACTTTTAGATTTATTCTAGGTGAGTGCAAGTATATTGACATATGACAGTAAAAGCAGCTTTCATTATTAACCAAATTATGTTTTCATTTAGAACTGAACAATGGACTTCTCCCAAGTACCACAACAGAGAATCAAGAGAAAGCTCCACCACAAGAAACAGGTATGTGCCGGGATGTCCTCCAGAGAAATGTAAGTTGGATTCTTTTCACATACGCACAGTCCATGGCAAGGACATATTAAAGTACTGCATTCTAAGCCTGGTCCTGGAGCAGGTGTCCTAGGGCTCCAAAAGCAGTCATCACAAATCAAGGACAACAGGCATGATCTACATGTCCTTTAATAATGACCTGCACTGTGACCATCAACAGCACATTGTACCTGCAGATGTAGGAGTCTCCCTGACCTCTACTTCTGGGCCTTCAGAAAGGGACCAAGGTGACATTCGAGGAAGATGAGCTTTTGAATAGAAAACAGTAAAATAAAATCCAGAAAAAAATTATAGTGAAAGGAAAAAAAAAAAAAAAAAACAAGATCACATCAGTTTTCAAGAGGACTAAGGCCAGCAGAGAAGGCTTTCATTACTGAGGCCGACCAGTATGGCTGAGCCGATGGCTTCGTGCACATTGCTGGCGTGCTGTCTGAGGAAAATCCAGGTCCAGAGATGCAAATAAACCCTTCTCCATCCTTTCTTAGCGCATGAAAAAAAGGCATTCATTGTTCAAAAATATTCTACTATGAACTTACCGCTGTAAGAGTATTTCTACTGGCAGACAAAACAATTAGAAGAGTAGAGCAGGCAGCCGTTCGCAAACATTTCTAATTTTAAAACCATCTTAGTCATACTTCATTGCAACCATGTTAAACCAAATCTTGCATTTACTTTCTGAAGATAATTCATTTCATGCATGACTACCTGAGACATATTTCTTTTCCTGGAATTTCCCCAAATATTCAAATACAAAGTGGTGTTCATAGTACAAAATAATATAATGTCTTTATAAAAATATAGTAAAATAATAAAAAGTATTTTATTATATCATCACTGGGAATGCCACATTAATCTCTAACTCTAAGGGTCTTTCACATTAGTCACAGAAATTTGTGGTTATTTTGTTCTAGCTTGATGTGGAATGCTGAGATATAATCACTTCTTTTGTTTAGTGATCTGAGTTCTATGTGCTGACTTTTGTTTCTTGTAGATTTATTCCAAACTATAGTTTCTAGTATAAGTTACTTAGCCTTTGTGATCTTCACAAAGAAAAATAAACAAGCAAAAAAACCAAAACAAACAAAATACTCTTATATCCAGAGCAATTAAATAGAAATACTTCTCTGTGGCAGAGACAAGAAGCTATCTACCAAAATTTTTTCCTCTCCATAAAACAGAGTTGTAGTTTGAAAATGAATACTAAGGCAAGAACTATACTTCCCAGTTCCCTTGAAGTTATGGGTGATCATAAGATTAATTTTTCTCAATAGAAAACGAATGAAAGTGATATGTCTCCTTCTGGATCAAGGCTTTTGATAAGCCAATATTTCTCTTATATAATCTCTCACTCTCCATCCAATGGACCTAATTGGAAATTATATCCTACTGGTTGGTTAAGCTATAAGACAAAAGGATCAGGGATTTTTGCAAAACCACATGGAAGAGAGCAGTTCCATTAGCCTGACCAGTCACCAAGAATTGTTTTAGAAGAAAGAAATAACGTTTCATTCTGTTGAGCCATTACATTTGGATTTAATTATCACTGCATTCTTGCCTATCCTCACTAATATATCTTCTCTGCTACTGATTATGAAGCCTCTTCAAATTTTACAAAGATCTCAAAGTCCACACAACTATTCTGAGGCTTTTGTATTTTGGCTTACTTTCCAAGTGCGTGCACACACTTTGTGGGTATTCGAATATGTAATAAGCTCAGGAGCTAGAGTTGGGGAGTCATAACTATTGGCACACGGTGGAAATCTTTTTACTGAAATGGTGAGTATAACATTAATAATCCACTTGGATGTAGAGTGATTTTACCACTTCTTAAAGTAGAAATATATTCCCTTGAATTTAGCAAATATTATTTGCTGTGCCCATGAACATTCATTGACACATTTGATGAGACCACACATTCTACTTTCCTTTTTCAGACAATAAAAGCTGTTTTATGAAACAAGTGTTTTAGATGAAAATGAATAGGTAGGAAATAAAACTCTAATGTAAATCTAGACTCATAGTTGGATAGTTGACAGCTGCATGTCTGAAGGAAAAACAGTCAATATTTTCTGTGATGATAGATTGAAATGGGATTAAAATACAGCTGGATTTCATCTGATACTTCTCAACAGTACACATTTCCCTCAGACTTAAAAGAAGTATCTGGATGAGTTTGAAGTATTAAACTATTCACCAGTTATAAATTCTGTTTCTTTTCCCTGAATATAAATAATTTTCATGTATCTAAGCTGACATCTGACATTTCTGACATCTCAGAAATAAGGAATATATTTCCAAATACTGTTTGTAATAGGTTCAAGTTTGCTTGTATGTGACTATATGATTACTCCTCTGAGACCCCACCAGAACAATATGCATAAATCATGTCTCTTACAAGATTAAGAAAGAAAAGAAGACCATGCCTCAGTGAGTTCATAAATTGTGATTTTGAAAAACATTTCAGCCACTCGGTTTCTTCTAGACATGTTATAATTATGTTCAGATTTGTACTTAATCAGTATACTTTAAATATTACTCAAAAGAAATAAGACTTCATATATGTACCATACTCTATCAAACTGTTAGTCACCCTTCCATTAACATCAAATACATCTACATGATTTAAATGCAGCAAAGACTTATTATTCTTAATTATCTAAAAATGCAATAAACTCATACTCTCAGCCTGTGAATATTATGAAAACTAACAATAATGATTATGTTGATAACCATTGTGCTAAGAACAAAGACTCAAATTTATCCTGGCCCACAGATCTAGATCATCTGTTTTCCATCTGCCTCACAAGTCTCATTTAGCATTATGTTCTCACCTCATGGTCTGTGCTCTAGCTACTCTGACCTCTTTTCAGTTCCATATTAAACATCTCAAGCTATTTAGCCTGCCTGAAATTTTCTCCCCCTGCTCATCCACTGCACTCAATTCTTGTCTAGTTGAATCTTACTTTTTGTCAAGTCTTAGTTCAATAGTCAATTCCTCAGGAAAGCCTATACTAGGCTCCATACCTAAATTATTTCATCTAATGTTTGCTTTCTTATCAGCATGCTCCTATTCTTTATAACTGTTATGCTATCTGAATTTTTTTGTTGTTTATGTGATACTATATTGAACATTATTTTTTTCTACTTAGTTGCAGGGACTATGCCATTTGGGGTCACCTTTATATATCTTCATCACTTAAAAAATAAATTGAACATAGTAAAACCTGAATAATAAATACTGGTTAAGTGAATAAATAAATGAGTAAAGTAGGTTTTATATCAGGATCAGTGTCTAACAAGAAGAATATTAGACATAAATTGAGCCATTACAGTCTCTGTTTGATGATATCTTTAAAGATGTTTCAAGGTACTATAAAATAAAAATCTATTTTTAATTACACTTTGAGAAGAAAAAGATGATTTCTTTCCAAAATCTTGTTTATTTCAATGAGAATAAACTTGAAAATAAGAAAAATGAAAACTTTGAGCATAAAATTTAGAAAGTGTTTTAGCATTCTTCAGACAGTCTTATTTTTAAAAGTACTCTCGTCCATTTTAAAACTATATATCCTATGTAAGATATTTTTTCTTAAAGAGGAAACAGGGAAGGAGGAGGAGGAGAAAGAGGAGGAGGGGCAGGGAGAGGAGGAGAAGAGGGAGAGGGGGAGGAGAAAGTTATTTTGATGGGGAGTCACTAATTGAAATGAGGAATGACACTTTGAGGA